CCCAAAGCAAGGAGACACCAGTCTCTGCCTGGCAAGGAGGCCAGGGTGGGGATGGAGGACACAGAATGGGCTGGAAGTGCCTTGTGAACTTGGAAATCCTGTGCAGACGTAAGGTGCCATCGGTGTCGGGAGAGAGAACGGTTCACATCTCCCTCTACAGAACAACCCGGTACTGGGCTGCACAGTGTGGTACAGAGCAATGCTGACCCGCCCTCCCGGTCCAATTCCATGCCGAAAAACCGGCTCGTACTGAGACTCGGAGCAACCTCGGAAGAGCGAGCTTCCTTTAGGGGCGAACAGTCGGGAACACAGTGAAATGAGAACAATAGTGCTATCACGGGGTCAATAACCAGATGAATCAGCTAAGAAATCAAAGCTTCCAACAGTCATTCGAACTCCGAGACTGAGTCTCAGAGCTGCACAGGCAGGTCTGGGCTTACATAACAGAGCGTAATTAATATTTTAAGTGATGGGGCTTTGCATTTGGACACCTGCCTGAGACGGATGGGGAAAATGTTTTTATCTGAAGTTGTCTACATTCACAGCGAGAAAAGCATCTGAGCGGCACCTCTTCCTTCCATCACAGAACGGTTCAATGCGAGAACCATAATGCTGACAAGAATCACGTTTCTGATGGAAAAGTAAAGTATTCGGGTCTAGCATTTCAAAGACAAACAAGCAGGGAATGGCAACGTTTCAAATAACTGGAAACCATGAGCATCAACACGGAAACCAAAAGACCTCCCAAGTGTTAGCAACAGCACTACAGCCACTGACACGCAGAAACAATGCTGACTTTCCAAATAAGCTAAGTCACAGCACTTTTAGTTACAATATTTCCTTGAGTACAACAGGACTTCAAGTCAGCTGCTTTATTAAGAAAAATGTACTGCAATCCACATTTCGAATGCCACGGATCTCACATGATGGACCAAGCAATTCGCAGACCAGCAGGCAACAGAAGGTGCAGGTAGGCAGAGCAAGGTGTACAAACCCCACTGGAGCAATGGCCAGAAGAGCACCGTGCTAAACCTGCAATTCTTTTTCTCTAACTTCAGAATCCACGTCCCTTACTTTTATCAGCAAACTAAAACGGAGCCTGCAATGCAAACAACAGGGGGAGTGTCAACTCATTCCTGTCCAACAATTCAAAGATCAGGCTTCAGTTCTTGGAGACAGTGAGGTCTCTCCCACCACCACCTGTCTACAGCACACACCCCACACTGGAGAACGGTGACAACAGGCAAAGATCAGAGGGTGCTGTTTGAAATATACATATCTACATACAAATAGAACATGTCTGCCTCATCTTTCCCTTCCAGCAATAAAGGAGCCGGCCCCATCTCACTCGGAACTAAAGGCTGTCCCTGCACTCCGCGGTTCGCGCACGAAGTAGCAAATCTGACCAGACGCTGTGCCTGCCATTTCCCGGAGCAAAAGCAGACCAACGGCCCGTCTTTTTCAGGAGTCCTACTCCAAACACCCGGGGAGGAGGAGGGCAGGACAGCTCCGGGAAGGCGTCATTTACCCTCCATGCCAGCGGATCACTCAGAAATGTGTCCTGGGCAGACGCGGCTCCACAAACCCTGCTTCTGTCCAGTACTTGCCAGGGTTGTTCCCATGCTGAGCGGTTGGAGAGGCGCTGAAAAGGCAGAGGCGTCCACTCCTCCGCCAATGTTCCCAACCCAGAGCCGGCGCCAATGAGGGTCAGCCACCCACCCACCCAGCGCGTCCCAGGGCCAGGCCAGAGGAGCCAAGCGGAGGGCGGTGTGCCAGCCTCTTCTCCCCTGCTGAGCCCCGCACGGTCAGCCCGCCCGCCTTGGCATGAGTTGCCCACCCCGCGAGCGGGCAGACCACCCCCAGCCGGGCAGCTGGAGCCTGGACACCAGGCAGGGAGGCGGCTGGGGGCAGGGGCCTGGCTCGCGCGCGGCACCGCCGGGTCCCTGTCCTCTAGGGTGCTTGGGGTCTGACCTCAAAATGCCTCCAAGGTCCCCAAACTTCACCAACAACCCAGGCACCTGCTCCCTTCCGCCCCCCTGTCTGGCCCCTCCTCTCCCCATTTTCTCCCAGCTCCTTCTGGAAACCCTTACACGGAACACCGAGCCCCCCAGAGTCTCCCCTCCAGTGAGGTAAGACACGCTCCTGCCGGCGAAGCCCCCAGTGGTCGCCGACCCCCACCCGGAAGTTCCCCCGGGGCATCCTCCAGTCCCTAAAGATTCCCCTCAAGTGGCACCCACACCCCAACCGTGCCCTTCCTGCCCAGTTCCCACAAACTCGCCCCGCGCTCTCCCCTGTCCCGTGGCCTCCACCCAGGTGGCCCTCCAGGGTCGCGACCCCCGCCCCGCGCTCCCGCCTCCCGGGCCCCCGGCTCCCCAGCCTCGGCACCCCGACACCCGGGCCCCCGGCCACCCCCGGCCCCCAACAGCCTCGGCCGGCGGTTAACGGCCGCGCTCACCTTGGTTCACCAGCCGCAGAGCGTGCGTGAAGGAGGGGTCCAGCGAGTCCTTCTCCGCCATCAGCTCCGGCAGGTACTTCTCCTCCATGCTCGCCGCCGCCCGGGGCCCGGACGCCGACTCGC